CGATACGAAGGGATTTCCCGTCCTTCTTGAGGACGCAGAACCAGCGGGATCGATATGCGGAGTTGGACGGCTCGTACACACCGGCCGCGATCTTCTTTTTCAGGATCGCGCACACTTCGTCGTAGAGTCCGGGGGGTATCGGGATGTTCCGCTCCACCCAGGGGGTGTGCGCGACGACAGGGAAGTCGACGGGGGGAAGAATTCGGGCTTGAAGCAGCCGCGTTCGTCGTCGTTCCACGCGAAGGCTTCGTTCTGGAGGGAGACGAAGTTGTGCAGCAACTTCCGTTCCTCTGGCCATAGGAAGTCCTCGGAATGCGCCTTGTCGAACGCCTCTTGTCGCTCAGCCGTGTAGCGGCCAGTCGGGACGAAGTCCGTCGGGTTCGTCGGTAGCTCAGGCATGTCCGCCAAGGGGTCCCCGGTGATGTTGCGCTCCACGCGGAACTGCTCGGGGGTGGATCCTAGGACAGGCCTCACTTTCCTAGCGACGGGCTTGTACTTCTTTTTGGTGGACAGGAAGGCTTCGGCGGTTCGTTCGGGGTCTGGGGGCGCCTCGGGGTGGACGGCGCCCGGGAAGACGCGTATATCGCCTCCCTTTCCGTCGGGGAATGAGAAGGCGAAGAGCCCGGTAGGGTCGGTCTCCCCTAGGGTGAAAGTGCCGATGTTCTGGGTATTTGGGGACGTAGACTGGGGCGGGGTACGGGTATGCGAGTGCGAGTCGGCGTGATTCTGGGTTTCTTGGGTTTTCTGATGGGATGAGGCGACGAGATCGGGGAGACGGTCACAGGCAGATAGATAGAGAGCGGGGATCGGGAGAGGGTTTTCGCAAGACTTGTTTAGGGACTGGGTATATGCTGAGATGCGCGGTACGCCTCCTTCTTCGGTGATGATGACCGCGATCTCTCCGTCGTCGGAATCAATCAATTCCTCGACGAAGGATCCTTGGAACGTCGGGCCCTCGAAACCGAGCCGCGCCCCGCGGAACAGTCGGGATGGTCGCCGTCTGTCCCGTGTTGGGGCACACAATAGTCAACGTCTGGTCCTCGTTCTCGAAGTTCTTGACGACGCTCTTAGTCAGGACGTCGAAGGGTCGCCCGAGCAGGATGTCGTACGCCGCGTTGCGTATAACGTGGACCTGGAGGTAGAGGACGATGTCGGCGACGCAGAAGGGTACGTTGCGAACGAGGCCTAGCGATCGGTCGACGTCGCCGTTCGCAGACTGCATGAAGAGTTGGATTGTCGGGTCGTAGGGGAGTGCGAGAGCGTTACAGACGTGCTCCGACATGGCGACGATCTGCGAGCCCGGGTCTATGATCGCTTCTACCCACTCCTTGTTGTCGACGAGTCCGACGACCGAGCGTAGCGCGTGAGACTCCTTAGCGACTCGTAGCTCGCGGGGATCGTTGCCTGGCGCGAGCCGACGTAGATACACCTCATACGGGTCCGGGAGAATGACTCCCCCCGGTTGTAGAGGTTCCCCGCGACAAGACACCTGCGCGGCGTAGTCCTCCTCCTCGTCGTCCTCGTTCGACGCGACGTAGTTCACTGAGCGCACCGCCTCCGTCGGGATGCGCTTCGGGGTGATGGCCTCGCGGTATTTCGCGCGGACTTCAGGCGCGACCGACAGTAGCTCTTCCGTAGTGAGTGTGAAAAGCGGCGTCTTCATCGACCGGGCAAAGATCTCCTCCGCGAACTTCGCCTGATGGACCGGGACCTGCGTACGGTACGCGTTGTCGCGGTCCTTGTCCTTGAGAGGCGGCCCCCCGAAGTTCTTGACCTTAGGGGGTGCGTAGGTCGCGTCGCGAGCCTTCGCGAAAGGGTGCTCGGGGAGTTCCACGGGCGCCGCTGGTGCGTTGGGTATTCCGGCGGCGGGATGTGGCGTCGGCGGCCGAGGCAGTTGTCGGGGGGCGCTCGCTGTCGCCTTGGTCGCTGGATCCTCGCGACTGTCGTCGTCGATCGCTGGCGCGTTCGGGGCACTGTCGGTGGTCGGGGCCGGCCGCAAGGCCGATGCCTGCTCGGGCGGCCGGGGGAGACTACGCTTGGGTGCGGGGAGCTCTACGCCGTCGAACACCTCCCGATTGCGGCGCAGCGCGAATAGCTCACGCTCTAGCTGAGCGATGCGATCGTCCGAGGTGAGCGAGAAGGTGCTGGTCATGGGTACCGCGCGGCTGATTTGCAGGACCATTTGCGCCGCTGTCGGAACGGCGAGGGAGTTCGGGTTTCGCCTATGCCACTCGTAGATACGGTCCCTCATGGTAAGACCGGGGATGCTACGGGGGACGAAGCTACCGTTCGGCAAGACCACTTTCCCCTCCGCGTTGCGCACTACCCTCCCCTCCTTGATGTCTTCGGCGACGTGGGGGCAAGTGCGCACCTGGCATCCCGCGTCTCCGCAGTAGTGGCAGAACCCGTAGTTCGGCTGATTCTGGTTCGCGGCGCCCGCGTTCGCCCCGCCCGCGGCGGCGGCTGCGCTCGCGGATCCTTCGCCTACCGACTGCGCGAGGAACTTGAGAAACGGCGCTAGGTCTTCCAGCTTTACCGGCCCCGACCCCGATGGGTCCGTCGCCGGAGCCGCCGGTGCCGGTGCGGAGGTGAGAGTGCCGTGCAGTACGAACTTGGCGGCAGCGTAGACGTCGACGAGTGGGTACGGGTCGTCGGGGTAGTGGTCGGGGTCCTTAAGCTGTAGTCGTTGCGAGACTTGGTCCCATAGGGGTGATACGATTCCGCGGACAAATAGGCGCGACTGCTCCGATGTGGATAGCCGCGACCGACCGATGAGGTAGGAGGTCATGCCCAAGAAGTCTCAGTAGTACTGGGACAACTCCCCGATCGTCGTCATCGGGGCAGTCGCTCGGCGGGCGACGAGGCCTTCGACGTCCGCTACAGCGAACTTCCTCGATTCTTCGGCGCCGGGGTATAACGCGACGATGTCGTCGTGGAATTGCTGGTAAGAGCCAGTGGCGAACGAAGGCAAGCCTTCGCAGAGGTCCGCTACGTCGATCGGGAGGTACCTGGTAACCGCTTCCTTGCGCTCGAGGTCCGTGTCGACACCGCACCGCCTGAACAGCACCTCGAGGTCCCCGAAGAAGCGTCGGAGCGTTCTGGGCGAGTTGGGGTCGAACGTCGGGGCCGTACTATGGCCTCTGGAAGGGAGGTCGGGACGCTTTGCCGCGTTCTCCATCTGCGGTGGCTGCCCCTCTTCTTCGTCGTGGTCTGGCATCTGGTTGGTAAGGAATCGGGGGCTGAGACCTGGGATCGGGGGCGATGGGTTCGCTGGTAGCCTCGGGCTCAGCGAGGAGGTATCGGGGGTTGGGTGAACGTTTCTCGACGGCGAAGGGAGCTGGCTTATCGGAGTGAGAGGGCTGGATTTCGGAGAATCGGGTAGCGGTACTGTCTCAGGAGTGGTGATTATCGGAGTGAACTCTCGGGGAGTCTGGGGGTCGGCGGGGCTGATGCAAAGCGCGATGTCGCTGAAGAAAGTGGCTGCAGCCTCTGGTTCCTCTGCGAGGACTTCTATTCCCCTATCGAGGATGTTGCAGAAAGCGTCGAAGATGATGTCCACGCTCGCGTTGTCGGCGTTGGCGATGGCCGCGCGCTGAAGGGCTTCGAACCGTACGGTTAAGAGCTCGGTGAGGAGGCTCGCTTGCCATGTTGCCACTGCTCGTGTTCGCGCAAT